AAACAATATTTCTCTGGTGCGGTGTTCCAGTCGTTCCTGGAATTATCTTGACTTAGTAAGAGTTATAGAGGGATCACAGCGATGACAGCGGGCACCAAAACGGGGAAGGCAATCTTACTTTGACATCATTTATACCTAGCAGTTAATAGTGTCATTATTGGAATATGTTACGTTTTGAACCGCCTACTAACGGTAGCACGAAAGTGTGAAGGTGTGGGCGGTTTAAGAAACGATACCAAATCGCACTTAACCTGACACGTTCACCTGGAAGCTAGAGTCTTCACGGGGACTTGGAACTGCGGTGAGACTGAAAATGGGCTGAATCAAGTCGGAAAACTGCCCTTGAAACTATAACTTGCCAAAATGGCCAAGAATATGGATCTTAGTGTAGTTGGCCGACAAGATCATGACCCGCTGGAACTTGGTTGTTGGATGTGACCAAACGCCATCTCAGTCGGAGTAGCCAGAGCATGCGCAGGACAACACTTCGGGTGCTGTGAATAGAGGTCTTGATGCCGTCATGGGCTTCAAGTGGCGTCTCAGGGGCAGGGGCCATGTATGAGCCGAAGACAATTAATTCCCAAAATATTGGGTGCATGACCAGACTCGCAAAACCTTAAAGGAAAATGTCTAAGTTGTTTGGGCTTCAGGACATAGCTAAAAAAGTGTTGCGAAGTTTCCAGGGAGCGGCAGCCGATCGGACACTGGGAATGGCGGTCCGAATTCCATTGATGCTTGTAGCCGAAGGATAACGCGTTGTGTTGCAATCGGAACTTCAGGTCAGCGAAGATAGGCAATAAATTCTTCTCTTGCTTGAGTTTGTACGCCCAGACAGACAGCGGCGGCGGTTTTGACAATCGCACTCACGGCAGGTCAGGCGGCGGAGCTTTTGTCGCGAGGAGTGAGAAAGGTGCTTGTCCTTCAACAACTTCAGTGCAGGGGGGGTCTTGTGCACGAGGGATAGTAATTCGCCAGGACAAGGTCAAAGACAGCACTCGACGGGGCATGGGTGAGAGCAGGTTTCTCGCCAAGTGCTGAGTCGAGAGAGTTTGGCCAGAAGTTGTTGGCTTGAAGTCTTATAGCTTGTAATTTTGCTTGCCCGCAGGAATTCAGATAGATTTGTTTCAGTGGGCCGCTGTTGAAGTTTTGGCGAAAACCCGCCATGGATAAAAGTCCGTATGAGACGTAGAGCTTCGTGACCCGGCTTGCTGCAAGAAGGTTGACGCTTGAAATGGTGACCGCCATAGTCTTGTGTCGAGTCAGAGAGGTGTGTGAAGCTTGGAATACTCGTCTTGAATGCTGAGTCTTCGCGTGTCAATGTAGTCATGCCGTGTGCGCAACACAGTTGACCAGAAACGACCAAGTGAGAGCAGAAACTCAATGCTGCACACCTGTCATGGAATTGGAAGGAAAAGAATGTCCAGTCCATGGCCGGCGGACGACATAACTTGGTGCATGAGGTCAACAATGGGGTCCAACCAAGGCTAAACGGTAATTGATGCGCCTTGTAGAGCAAGAAGGTAGAACATGGTGCGGAGCCGGAGCAACTTGAAGCTGGTGGCAATATTTGGCATGCCTTGGCCGCCTTGAGATTGCGGTCGTTGCAGCCATGTCTTGGGAAGGTGGTTTGCGATGAGCCCTTGCTTGTGGAGTCGGCCATATGCGAAGTCGAGGGCAATGTCTTCAATTTCCGACACCTCTGAATCAGGGATGTGGCAAGTTGCTGCCGTGTACCACAGCAGGTGAAGCACCATGGTCTGAAAAATGACCACCCGACCATGCAGAGTTCTTGAGCGGTACTTCCAGAGGCTGCAGCGACTTAGAATTGCATGAACGAAAGCGCGATACCGGTCTTCATCGGTGATGTCCGATCCTTCTTGGATTGCAAGCCAGCAAGATATTTCAATG